ATATATATATTAAACATTCTGGATTTCTTCCATATTACTACAACATAAATTATTCTTTTGTAACAACTGTTGTAACATGAAAGCAGCATTATGCATACCTTGGAGTGGCAGGAGCCTTTATTGGAGATGGAGGCTGAAACTTGCACTTGGTTCAAGATCAAGGACTGATGAGAAAGTGTGAGATAGGAGACAGGAGGATTTCTCAGTTGCAGATCATACTCCAGAAAGCAGAGGAAAAACTCAATCAACATGGCATTAATTGGGGCAGTCTACTGATAGACAGGGCACAGTCAATGAACATTTAGATAGACTTATTTTTCAGGAATCTGGTAGTGGTGACTGTACTTGGTAAATTATCTTTTATGCCAGGTGTCACAACAGCAAGATCTCTTCATGTTCATGCTCTCTGGAGGAAACCAAAAGGCCAGGCAGGCCAATGAATCAGGATTTCAAACAGGAATCCTTGGCAGAACCTAAACCCAGATGACTGGATCAAAATACTCACTGCATCAGCTGTCTTTGATCTGGGAACTACAAACCCCAAGGATTCATCCCATGGGAGAAACGTGGGATGGCTGTAAAGGTGAATGAATGTATGCCACGGTCCGTGTTACTGGGTTACCAGGCTCCATGTTTACAAAGTGATCTGGGTCCACTAAGCCCATTAAATGGGCTGAGAGAAAGGAAAGCAGAGTGCATGGAAAGGCATTGCTAATCCAGCAACTGAGGTAGACATGAATTTTCAGGGGAAACTTTCCAGTTGAGAGAGCTAAAAAAAAAAAAGTTGAAGTGGTAGAAACGGGAAGTGATAACAATATTGATGTTCTCTGAATTTACACCTCTCTAATTTTTAAGGGAAGTAAATCGTACTAAAAATAATGTTTGTCAGCATAAAACCAAAAGAGTCTTTGTAATTTTATATAATTTCCTAATTTTTATTTTTTATTTTTTTTCCCAAATGTGTTAAGGAAGTCCTTGGCGAATAACCTTAGGATTTCTCGCCTTCATATGAGGTAATTTTCATGTCTGAATGCTTGTTTTTTTCTGATTGCAATATTAAAAATATATCTAACCTGCCCTGGCTGGGTGGCTTTGTTGGTTGATGGTTCAATTCCCAATCAGGGCACATACTGAGGTTTTGGGTTCAATTCCATTGGCATGTATTTGGGAGGCAACGCAACTGATAATGTTTCTCTCACACATCTATGTGTCTCCCTCTCCCTCTCTCTCTCCCATCCATTCTCCCTCTCCCTCTCCCTC